AGCCACCCAAAGTGCTGGGATTACAGCCACTGCGCCCGGCCTAGAATACATTTTAGTGGGTCTCTTAAAAGTATTTTACATTTGGCATCTGTATTATTACTCTGAGTCTTCTTCCAGTGTGTTACTATTTTCTGCTTTTGAATAAATCCTTAGTGACTTAGGTTAATTCACTCACTCAACAAACATTTAGAGTCTCTAATTTGTGTGAGGCATTCTATTAGGTGCCTGGAAACATAGACTGGAGAGATTTTGCTTGCCTTCATGCCTAGACTCAAAGGTGTGGACGCCTCCGTAATCCCTCACCGCCACCCTCCAGTCTAGTATTGCCAAAGTACCTCCTTGTATGTGATTATTTATGTTTGTCTCCCTCACCTGAGTGAATTCCTCCAAAGCAAACAGTATCTTATTCAATGTTGTTTTCCTAGCATGGTGCATAGAAAACTGTTATAATAAATAAGTAAATTGAGTATACTGTTGTTTTCCATACTAGGGATCAATATCAATTTGTGGAATACATACATTTTACAGATCAGGAAACTAAAACTCAGAAAAGAATGTGGTATGTCCAACATCACACGGCTAATAAGTAGTGCCCAGTGTAAGAAAGCCTCATCCAGAGCTCTCTTCTACTCCACCATGCCACATCCTACACATGGACAGGAAGAGTGAAAGATCTTAGATGTCTTCCAAAGGTCCTCCCTTCTGGAAAACAAAATAACCTGGTTCCCATTCAGTGTTCCCTTTCTCTGAAAATGTCATCCCCAGTTGCTCAAAAAAAAAAAAAAAAAAACTCAAGTCATTTAATGACTACCATTTCTCCCTATGCCCCCATCCTGTCAATCAACAAATCTTATCAATTACAATTTTCAAACTTAAGGTGTCAGCTGGGCGTGGTGGCTCATGCCTGTAATCCCAGCACTTTGGGAGGCCGAGCCGGGTGGCTCACCTGAGGTGAGGAGTTCGAGACCAGCCCAGCAAATATGGTGAAACTCCATCTCTACTAAAAATACAAAAGTTCACTGGGCATAGTGGCAGGTGCCTGGAATTCCAGGTACTCAGGAGACTGAGGCAGGAGAATCACTTGAACCGGGGAGGTGGAGGTTGCAGTGAGCCGAGATGGAGCTACTGCACTCCAGCCTGGACAACAAAAGCAAAACTCTGTCTCAAAACAAAACAAAACTTAATGTCTCTCCAGTCTCTTCCATTTTCTCTAAACCTTCTGTCACCACCCTAGATCTAAGCACCATCATCCCTCATATAGACAACAAAAATTATTTGCTACGTGCTGTCTATATAGTCACTCTGGCCAAGTCTTTCCTTCAATCTCCTCCACTTAACAGGCAGGGTAATATTTTAATATCATCCTACATATGCTGTTCACCTAGTTTATTAAAGCTGGGCTAGGTTCTCATTACTCAGGATAAAGACCAAAATTCGCCTGTAGCTCAGACTACTGCCTACTCTCTAGCCTCTGCCCAACTCTCCAGCCTCATTCTTCTTCATTCTAGTCTTTCTTCTCTTGCTCTGTCTCTGACTAACCTCCTTTCAAATCCTCATGTTCACTACTCTTCCCTTTGAACTTTGAACATGAAGTTCCCTCTGCCAGAAATCTTCTTTATTCCACTATGAGCATCTCCCACTGCCATCCTGAATTACTACTTCCGCTTACCGTCCAAGTCTCTTGAAGTGTCACTTCCTATAGGAAACCTTTCCTGATAACCCCAGACAAGGGGAAAGTACCATGTCAGGTACTCCTACCCAACCCTTTTGGAAATGGCATTCAACACACTTGCAATTATTTATTAAGTATATCCCCTATTAGAATATAAGCTCCATGAGGTCAGGGGAAGCATTTCTTTTCACTGATGTATCCACAGTGCTTAGCACATGGTAGCTGCTCAATCAGTGTAAGTTGTCAGAATAATAGGTTGGAGCCAGATTATAGAGTGCTATAACATCAGTAAACCAAAGGGCAATGATCATTATCCCCTTGCAAATAAGTAAACTGAAGCAGAAAGAAATGAATAGTTATTCAAGGTCACAGAGACAGCAGTGATGGGGCCAAATCTAATGCTGCATTCAGCCTATTTCTCCTTAGAACAATAAAAGAAACCTTGGTAGGTAAGGAAGTATTTCAGAAGAAGAAAATTAGGAATGAGAAGGTGGTGCATAAAAAGTCTAAGAGGACAGCTTCTGAATCTGCCTGTCATACTAGTTGCCTCCAGATGGATAGCAGTTAGACTTTCCACACCTAGAGAAGTACTGCTGTTATGTAAACAAATATAACAAACTTCTTTCCTCCACAAAGGAGAAGAAACAACGGGGGGCGGTTGGGGGGGGGCGCGAGGAACTGTTGTTCTCCATGTATCTTCAAAAAACCAAATGGGCAGTTTGGCCACCTGGATTGCTCCTCAGCAATCCACAGGGAACAGGAAGGAAGGGGGGGTGGGGGGGAAGAACAGCCTTCCCACTACCAGCTGGAGCAAGGATAAGGGAAAAAAAAATGCATTATATAAGGCAAGCCATTTGAAGACTACTTACTCCTTGGGAATTATGAGAACATTTCATGTAGAGCATTTAAAAACCTTGCTAACTCATAGGCTGTTCTTAATACAGGTGCCAGTGAAAGGAAAAGTGGCATGAGCCCAACTGCAGCATATCATTGTTCACATGCTGCTGGGGCTAAATTATGTCTGTCACAGAAACCACAAAACAGACCAGGGGTCAGGCTCATTGCTGCTCATCCTGCCAAGCACAGACCGCAAGAAAAAGAAAAGGTAAAGAAATCCTCTTCAAAGAGGACTCTGAAAAAAATATTCACATAGTCTACATCCACCCAGGAGTTCCTAGGTGAGGTGGAGGAGGAGCAAGGAGGGTGTTCCAAGATTGGAGAGAGATGGAGAGAAACAGATGTGATATGATGGTGATAAGGGAGAGATTTTGAAACTGAAAGGATAAATGTAAACTGCAAATGGAGAGATACGGAAAGAAACAGAATTTCAAGAGATGTGGGGGTGGGAGGGATAAAGGAAAGTACAGAAGAGAAGGGTAGGGTGTCCAGAAAAGAAGAGGGTCATCAAAAGACAGACGGAGAGGCAAAGGCTGACTGTTGATCTTTTCCCAAATTCAAAAGCTGCTCATTGGCATCCCAATAAATCACTCTACTACAAAGCTCATACAATGAACTGTCCTTTGCATTCAGCATCAAGCAGCTTTTAACGAAATATCACACAGCTACAACTTTGGAGACCTAAGGATCTTAATTTAAAATGAACAAAATTGGCTCAGCAGCAGAAGACAGCCAGTAAAGACTTTCCCCCATGTCTGACTCAGCTATGAAAAGGTTTAGCATTCTAGAGTTAAGCAAATTCTCTGGCATTTCTCCTTCTTTTGACATTCCAAGAGGGGGTGTGGTTGACCCCAGGTCCATTCATTTCCAAGGTTGTAGATCTCCCAGCTAAGACTGGCCCCATCTGTTGTGAAGCCAGCCAGCTGTTTATCTCAAAGTAACATATTTATTGCCCTAACCATCCCTATAACTCTTACAGGAGCATCATGTAAGTTAGAATGCTTTCTGTCCTGTTAAACGCCAGTTCGTTCAAAAAAAAAAAAAAAAAAAAAAAGGCAACAACAACAATAACAACAACAAAAAAAACTATGCTCCTTGGTTTTCCTAACCAAGATCACTCTTCCCATGGGCACTTTTCAGTAATGGCAAATGAAGGTTAACAGCGCTTCTAACTTTGCCTTTCTCTAATGTGTTAAAATGAACCCGGTTTCCCTAATCGATCTCTTGAAACCGTTATTTATGAGTAGTGACTATGCCTCAGGAAACAGCAGCTCATTATGGTACCGTTGTCAGTGGCAAAAAGCCTATGCAATGTAATTTAAAACACACAAGCACAAATCTGTCGGCTCCACTTCCAAACACTCTTGAATCCAGCAGCCGGAGAACGGAAAACACTTAACAAAAACGCTGCTTCCAGCAGCCTCAGAGAATCTTCGTCAGACACGTGAAATGTTTCTGACTGGCACGGAGTGCACCATTAAAGGACACTGTCACCTCAAATCAGCAGAAAAGGCGAGACAAACGACACAGACATACACACAAAATAAATCCTACAAAACTTGAGCACGTTCATCTTAAAAATTAATAACGTGTGCTCGTCCAAGCGACACACAAATGTTCTAAAGTAATGCGACCACATTAAATCACTGTCTCCATTTCTCCCCACGCATCACCCCTTCCCACTCAAACCTCAGCTCTCGGGCCGTGTGTGACAGGACTGCAGTCCCCCACCTCTGCCTTCCTCTGATTTTCCAAGAGCACTCCCCAACATCCTTCCCAGCCCAGCCCCCTCTTCCCGACTCAAAAAGGTTGAGAGGAGTTGCGACTAGGGAATTGGCAGGCACCCGTCCTTTGGCGGGGGAAGGTTGCTGGAGTTGTTCTTTGCAGTGACCCAAATTGCACAGAGCTTTTCCCCTCAGCAGCGCCCGCGAGCATCTCCCCAATCCCCCCCACCTCACCACCGCTCACAGCTTCGCAAAAGAAAGCCTTGAGAACTAAGCGGGAGGAATAACTTGGTAAAAGCATTTGAAAAAATCACTTCAACTCACCTGGTTTGGGATTTTTCTCCCCACCCCAGGCATAAACAGAAATGAAGTGCGAATGAGTCACGCACGCAAGGGAAGGTCTGCGATGTCCTGAGTCCAAGGGCTGGAGTCAGTCCCTGCCCTGGTGCTGCTGCTACTCTTAGCTTAGCTGGAGCGAGCGGCAATCGCAAGCCCAGCGGCAGGGGGTGGAGAGACCGTAGCACAATGAATGCAGTGAGGCTTTTGCAATGACATCATCCCTCTGTCCAAACGTCCCCAATAGCCATGCTCGAAAGCGGTGCTTTCTGGGAGCTGTAGTCTTCTTAAGTCCTGGCAGGATACCTAGGCCATCGCCGGAACTACAATGCCCAAAATTCTCCAAGTCAGACGCGCCCAGAGCGAAGGAGCAAAGGGGACTCGGCCGCCATGTTAGGAGTACTGGGAAGATTCCTCGGAGCCAGGCAGAGGTTTTAGGGGTGCTCGGGAGTTGCGTGGTGGTTCAGTAGGGATGGTGAGGTGGAGGACGAGCTGGTCGGATAGCTGCGGGCATGAACCTGGGAACCAGAGGGTGGAGGCCGTGCTGGGGGTTGGTGTAGGGCGGGACTGACTAGAAGCGGTATCCACAGGCCCAGTGAGCCTCGGTCTCAGTTCCTGAAGGTGTTTCCTGGGGCCCTTCGCTTCCTTCTCAGTTTTTTAGCTAAGAGGTTGAAAGAGTCGGTTTACTTCTGGGCTTGGAGTATCTTAGATCGGTTAACAGTACAGTTGAGAGAGTTGGTGTTTTTGTTGAGGTGCGGGGACCATAAGCGGCGACCCTCGCCTTTATTCTGAGAAGCCCACTTACACCCACAGAGTTGTGCTCGTCCTCCCAAATGCATTTCTGTTTTGCCGTTTGTTTTCCAACCCTCCTTCCCTCTCCCCAAGATTTCAGATTCACTGATTTGTCATACAGGCATGATTAGCAAAGGCGTCCGAAGAAATCGTTGTTGGAAGGTAGCCAAGCTGGAAAGACGTTGGTTTGGCCCTGCGAGTAAGAAAAGAGAAAGCGCAGCCTAAAGGAGTAACAGTAGATGCAGTGGCTCATACCTTTAATCTTAGCACTTTGGGGACGGAGGCGGGGGGATTGCTTGATCCTAGGAGTTCAAGCCCAGCCTGGGCAACATAGGGAGACACCGTACCAACTCTACAAAAACATTAAACAAAAAAATTAGCTGGGCATGGTGTCGCACCCCTGTAGTCCCAGCTGCACTAGAGGCTGTGGTAGGAGGATTACTTGAGCCCGGGAGGTTGAGGCTGCAGTCAGCCTCTATCATGTCACTGTGCTCCAGCCTGGGCGATAGAGCCTGTCTTAGAAAAGTGGGGAGAGGTGAGATATTATTGATGATACACCTGCTGACGTCTGACAATAGGTTCCAGAGTAACATGGGTCATGGATAAATTTTTTTAAAACTAAGTAACTGAAACCAAAGTTACTTGTCTTTTGAGTGATTTTGCACAGAGTCTCAAATGAACTGTACTTTTTTCTTGTGTCACTGAAACAATGCTGTGTGTTCTTTCTCAGAGTCTGTCTACACTATGACAACATGGGAAATTTCTTTTCCTCCTGAAAGTGTCTGATGTGTTAAAAAATACTGATAAACTTTTTGCTCTTTCCTCCCTTTTGCACATTATTCCGAAACAAAATTAACTAGTTACTTTGGGTTATTGAAGATATGCACTTCCCCTCTATGTTAGAAGTGAATAAAATTAAAAATAGATTCTCATATCAAAGAAAGTCTAGACAGAATAATTTAAAATTACCAAAACACTTTTGAAAAATGATCTTATATGTCATGTTTCTGGGAACAAGTCAAGATGCATGGGTTTGTTTGATTTTTAAGCAAAAGTAGTATGTGTTGTCGTCCATGAATACAACAATGAAAAAGGCTCTTGTCATACAAAGTTTTTGTTATTCAGAAACATTTCTCTAAGTAATAATGGTAAGTATAGGAAAAGGAACAATATGCTATTGTAATGTTGTAAGCTTAATAGAAATTTACATTTAGGCTTAATTTCAAGCTCTTCAATTATTTTATTTTCTTCATATGAACTGTGGCTTTGTTGTATGTTCAGTTATTTTTAGTGGCTGGTGATTCAAGTGTCTTCTCCTGTTTTATGTAAACTTATGAATCTTGTTCATTTTATAATATATTTATTATTATTATATTTATAATTTATTTAAGCCATAACCTTGTCAGTTCGAATTATATGGAAGACAAATTGTAGGGTAAAAGAGCAACAAATTAGTCAAAAGCCTTGTGTGTGAGCTGGGCATGGTAGTGCATGCCTGTAGGCCTAGCTACTTGGAAGGCTGAGGCAGGAGGATCACTTGATTCCATTAGTTTGAGGCTGCAGTGAAGTATGATTGTGTCACTGCACTCCAATCTGGGCAACAGTGAGACCATGTCTGTTTTTTAAAAAAAAGAAATCTTGTGTGTGAAAAGTAATACCTATAGAATACAATGATTTCTATAATTTGTCTTGTGTTTGGGTAGTTTGAAGTTTTTCTATCTTTATATCTAATGGACTTCTACCCCACTCTTTAGAAATTTGATTTACAAAATTAATATTTGAGGAGTTGAGGAGGCCAGCTTTTGAAAAAATAACCTAAGTTTCCCAGAGAAACACCGCAGGTTAGGAAAACATTGTTAAAGTGTAATTAGCAATGTCTAGAGGAGATAAAGCTTTTCATCTCTCAAAAGAGAATTAGGGCCAGGCACGGTGGTTGACATCTGTAATGCTAGCATTTTGGGAGGCCGAAGTAGGCAGATCACTTGGGGCCAGGAGCAAGACTAGCCTGGCCAACATGGCAACACTGCTTCTCTTCAAAAAATAGAAAAGTTAGATGGTATTATAAGCACAAGCCACCACATCTGGCTAACATTTTTACTTTTAGTTAACAATACTCCGGAAACTAAAAAGTGTGTTTTCTAGTCTTGGTGACCCAACTTGAGTTTGAAACAAATTTACATAATTTTAGTTGCTTAATATGCTGCTGAAGATAAATGCGGTAAATATCCCAAGGTCAAGATTTGAAATTTAAATTTTCATAGTAGTGATTAACAGGAAGAGAAAATTCTCATTATTTTATTTCTCAATTTTTAACAGGTTTTTTTTGTTGTTGTTGTTTTTGTTTTTACTATCTCCAGTAATGGGTATAAGCAAAACAGGTGTGTATAATTAAGGGAACACTAGAAACCTTTTTTTTTTTTTTTTTTTAAAAAAAGTCTTGCTCTGTTGCTCAGGATAGAGTGCAGTAGAATGACCTCGGCTCACTGCAGCCTCTGCCTCCTGGGATCAGGTAATTCTCGTGCCTCAGCCTCCCAAGTAGCTGGGATTACAGGCATGTGCCACCATGCCTGGCTAATTTTTGTATTTTTAGTAGAGATGGGGTTTCACCATATTGGTCAGGCTAGTCTTGAACTCCTGACCTCGTGATCGGCCCGCCTAGACCTCCCAAAGTGCTGGGATTACAGGTGGGAGCCACCACACCTGGCTGAAAATATTTCTTTGCAAGAATAAATATATGAAGATGAACTTATCAAGTGTAAATATGTTCATGAATATAGCCACTGAAGGAAATTCAAATATGCAGAGATATTCAGCTGTGTGCAATTATGTAAGTAGGTACATATTTATGAAGCTTAATTTGATGTAGAATCTGAGGGTTCTGCTTATAAACTTGCTTAAAGGTTCATCAAAATCACCCTCTTACACCTAACTCCTGATTTCATGAATATAGCGCACAGGTGCTTATCAAACAATACCATGGGGACTTGAGCTGCTCCAGGACCAGAAGATAAAATTTAGTATCTATGATCCTTAGATAGCTAAGTGATGCTTTTTTTTTTAAAAAGACTAAGCCAAAATAAAACAGCTTTCCTCCTTCCCTGCCCTCTCCGACCTAACTTTTAGCCATTTTATTTATTTGAGTTAGGGTCTAACCGTGTGGAGTTCACAGGCATGATCATAGCAAATGACAGCTGCAGAATCCTGGGCTCAAGCGATCCTGCCTCAGCCGCTCAAGTAACTAGGACTGCAGGCGTGTACTGGGGCTTCTAGCCATATATGCAGTATTAAATGACAACTTCTATAGTTTCTTAGTACTTGTCCCTGTAGAACTGCACAGTGTGTATTCTCTCGGCTCAATTATTAGCATATGTAGAACTGTTTCCTTGTGAATGTTTTGTATTTTATATAAGGAAACCAGGAAAACCTAAATTTTTAAACATGCCAAAATTAAAACAACTGAAGTATTTTGCTTTGCCTTTAAGTAGTAATGTATAGAAGCATACTATTGCAGATACACTTAGCTTTCACTGCAGTTACAGTATTGCAGCTAACTAGCATGTTCCGTATGTGTTACCTAAATGACCTATACTGGTCATGTGCTATTTCTATGGAATACTAACAGTAGTATGGTACATTTATGCAGTCTCAACAGTTTAAAGTATTATTTTGGTGATAAACTGCTTACATTCATTTGTTTTTACATTTGGCAATCTAAATGCAAGAGTCTCCATTTCAGCTCTGTTTACTCTGTATATCTTGAATGTTGGGCATTATGCCTCGTTCTTGAGTTTCAGTCCTATGACTGTTCCATTTTCAGTATTCATGTTTATGTGTCTTTCTAAAATTGTTTTGCTTCTGTTTCTTGCTGCTTCTGAGACAATTTATGGGCAAATTTTGTTGCTTTTCAACTGCCAGTGTATTTCCCTGTGAGGAGTTGCTGGATTGTCTCATTTTCCTGATAAACTGAATTAATATAGTAGTGAGGAGAAGTGAATGAATGGGAATGAGAAAAGAAGTGGGTACTGAAAGTAAACTTCTTTTAAGAAGTTTGGCTCTGAAAAAGGCAAGAAATAATGGATTAGAGAGGGCAGGATTGTAAGTATTTGTTTAAGGTGGTAGAATAGGCATAAGCATATTTAAATTTCCCTACTTGGGGGTAAAATCATACTGTTCTCAGTTCAGTCCGATAACTTTTTAAAGGAACTTGAGGACACACAGTTCTGTCCTGCCCTGAAATCCAGCCAGGAGGAAGGAAGAGCTCTGAAGTAATTTTTAAACTTTTTTCTACATAATAATTGATTTTCATTTGATTATTTTTCTTTCCCATAGTTCCTGTTTGCCAAGTTTTTCATAGCTGTTTAACCAAACTTCTCCCAAGAATGGTGGATATTTATGATTCTAATTCCAAAAACACATGGCAGTGATCACTCTCAGCTTCTTTTGAGAAAACTTGGTTTGCTTTTCACACCTATGTCATTAATAACCCCCTTGCCAAACCTAACTAGGATCCTCACCACCACTATTAGAGAAAACTGATGCTTGGTTGAACCAGGATGTCAAATGTGAACAGAATTTGTCTGTGTTGTTGCCCAGCTATGTTTATCAATATATATTACTTAGAGGAACAGAAATCTGAGATAATTGAATTCATTAGATTACTTATGTGAAGACGGTTTAATTGTATAAATACAGAAAAATGCACAAGGAAAGGAAAGAAACTAACACCTTAAGACAACAAGGCCCTCCATAAAAAGTAACCCAATTCTGACAATTAGGAACTAACATCCATTAGCTGAAGTCCTTCTCATTACCCAATAACATAAGTAAGCTGCTTTCTGTCTTGAGAGATTTAACTGACAGAATAAATGGAAAGAAGTTAGTACAAGGAGCAGTTGGCGAAGTGTGGTGTCTCACACTAATAACCCCAGCACTTTGAGGGGCTAAGGCAGGCGAATCACTTGAGGTCAGTTTTCAAGACCAGCCTGGCCAACATGGTGGAAACCTATCTCTACTAAAAATGCAAAAATTAGCAGGACTTGGTGGTGGGTGCCTGTAATTCCAGCTACTCAGGAAGCTGAGGCAGGAGAATCACTGGAACCTGGGGGCAGAGGTTGCAGTGAGCCGAGATTGCAGTACTGCACCCCACCCTGGGACAAGGCTCCATCTCAAAAAAAAAAAAAAAAAAAAAAAAAAAACCAT